CAGCGCGTGTTCGTTCCCCACTGCATACACCTGTGGTCCGGAGTTTTTTTCAGACCCAGATGGTGTAGCGGTGAAGTGCGCTGCTCCCCGGTAAGGACAACAGCGCGTGTTCGTTCCGCACTGCATACACCTGTGGTCCGGAGTTTTGCAAATATCTCAGCACTTCATACGAGTTATATTTCACAACATACCCTGCCATTAAGAAGAAAAAAGGCAGTAAATAAAAGAGTTAAGATTCACTGTTTCCTCTGTGGTACTTAATGTAGTGGGATGCATGACTTATTATGGGATTGACGGACAGTTTATCATCCATCACTTTACAGATCACAACTAGAATAACCCATCTAAATTATCGTCCAAAAAAAGCGAATAAAGCTAACAAAATTTCTGACTTGACCAGGCATCTTTTCATTAGAACTAGAAAACACACTTTCAATGATTTTACCTTAGCGTAATGTACCCGTTCTGTTTCAGGGTCTGGGAAATCTATATCTATTCCGAGAAGCCGCTGAAGTTCAGCATTTTGACAGATATTTAAACAGTGGTTACCGTCAAATGACCGCACGCCATCATATGTGCGTTGGAGAGAGGGAGTGCGAGGGATTCTATCAAAACACTTTCGGACAGCAACTCACATTTCGTAAAGAATTCTATGTAAGTAGCGCAATGTTGCTAGTATAGCGCGCACACCTACTGGCCATTAACATTTCCCAGATGAGCTAAGAGATCACCCTAGGACTTAGATGCTTGGCCAAATCCAACATTATTGCAGGTGTGCATCACGAACACGAGGAAAAAATCGGAGTCAAAAGGCTCTGATTTAATTTAACTGCAAGTTTTTGAGCTAAATAACTCGAAGCTGTGGCAGTATCATATTTTTTACATTGGGTGTATATTATGGGTGTGTTACGATATCTGGATGATCGTATGATTTTATGACATAACATTCTGGAATATTCTCGTTGAAACTATGAACGATCCCTCTTGAGATCAGTGTCATCCGCACGTTGTAAGTGTAGCTGAAAACTTTTGCTATTGTAAATATTCCATTCTGTTGAAGAGAGACGACGGCACACGAGATCTTTCACAACAGCGAACCGCATTTCTTCTCGCACGTTTCAGAATCCACGGAAAGGAAGTGAGTGACTGACGCCGTTTAGTTCGTTTTGTTCTAGCAGTTCAATGTAGCCCTTACGAAATTCTACATAAAAAGTCCTGCTACAAATTATTTATTTTGTTAAAATGTATAATCTTAATACATCTATCTTCATTATATAGATGGAAAGAGAGTATGTTTTTTCCTGGAAACCACTGTTACATCTTGTTTTCTACTTTTTTTAAAAACTCAGAACGACTTTCGATAAACCTCGACATAAATAGTTGGTATGTCTATTTATATGTTCTAATGAACTGATCTTGTTGAGCGGATGCGAGGTTGGTGTAAGTTGTTTGTGTCATTGTTGTTGGTGTTCTTGGTCGTTGGTCGACATTTTCGATTTCGCCTTCCTCAGCGCCGTGCTATTACGAGTGGTACTACTCCACACTTTTACCCACACACACCACTTTCCACCACACAATTGATAATTGTTCCAAAAATATAAGTGTTGCCAAGGGGAACGGGAAGACTGGAGGCGGCACAAAATGAGAAGCTATTAAGAAGATGTCCTCTAATGGACGGCGCCAGCCATAAGTATCTGCGTTGAATAAACTATCGATTGATTACAAAAAGTATAGGAAGAACACTTCCGTGCATCAAAATAAACCACCGAAGAGAATCTGACACATATAGGGGTCTCATCGGCCACCCCTACAAAACCATTATAACACTTATGGGTGTCATTCGTCGTGACAGTGCTAAATTTGTCAACTACCTGTCCGTTTATACGGTCGTACGGTGGTCTACCTATTTCGCCAATGTATTCGTTCTTTCACGTCTGACAAAATATCAGATAAACCGTACCGGGTACCACTTGGTAATGCAAACGTTTTTGGATAGGTTAATTGGAGCGTTCAGAAATGGAAGCCAGTTCCTCCCTTCATTCCGCAAAACCGAGAGATAATTGATAAAAACATACTGGTTCATTACGTCTCCTCTCATTTTTGATACACAAAAAGAGCACTCGTGAGAAACATGTTCCGAATAGCCACCAATGCGAGCACAGGAGTAGAGCAGATGGAAGAATCTCTGAAATCGGTTCGGCAAATAGCTATTTCCGATGGGGGCGAAACTATAGCTCCTCGGGATAGGTTTAGAAAAAGAACCACGTTCCCAAACGAAAATTTCGTCGAGGATAAGGTCCCGTCTATCCTTCCCATCATTGCCAACGAGTTTAGTGCAGCTATAAAACGTTGTCTGAGAAGGGCCACTCTAGGAAATTCGGTAACAGTGACTGGAATACCATCGAACATTTTCACACGTCAGCTGGTTCATAACTACCTGTGTGATAATTCAATGTTTTTCTTCAATAAGCAGACACGAGGTTGTTAACAACCTCGTGTCTGCTTATTGAAGAAAAACTTTGAATTATCAATTAATGCCGAGGTTAACAGAAAGTCGGTCTTGGGAATTACCTCTGTGATAGTCTATGCACAACGCAAAGTTGCATAATATACCTTAATGGTAGAAACGGTAATTACGTGAGTTCGGGTACGGTTTATCTGGGTTTATGTAAAGTGTGCAGGGAAGAATATGTTGGAGAAACGTGTAGACCACTATGCCGCCGTATAAAGGAAAACCTAGTCGGCAAACATAAAGTTAAACCAATTACTCCACTAGGCGCGCATAGGACACGGAGGCTTAACGGGGAAGATTTTGAAATAAAAGTCACTATCCTCGCGGAGGAATCCAAAGCATCAATGCATAAAGCTCTTAAATCGTTTTGGATGGAAGAATTCAAAAATGAATCGTAAGAAGTGCTCTTTGATGATGCGGTGACCTCGCACTACGCCTCGAGCTGATTTATTTACTTGAGCCAGGCACATTTCTCGCCCACATAGCACTCTGTGCTGCTGGTCTCTAGAAGATAACTGGAGGACTTACCAAGAACAAAACGGTGAGTTCGTAAAAGAAGCTGTTTATTATGCCAATGAAAAACTTATGTATTACGTCTTATCTGTTGAGGTTGTCAAAGTGTTCGGCTGAGTAAATTGCATGTTAGTTTGGCCTTTCCAGGCTATGAAGAAGGCGAAACCGCCAACGCGTCGGCTATTGTGAATTAGGAAATGCCATAATAACAACCCTCGTAATTGGTGAACTACTGAATAGACATATTGCGGTGAAAGAATTCTGGAACGCACTATATTGAAAATGGACACTATAGTGTCTCGTATGAAATGCTGAGATATTTGCAAAACTCCGGACCACAGGTGTATGCAGTGGAGAACGAACACGCGCTGTTGTCCTTACCGGGGAGCAGCCCACTTCACCACTGCACCATCCGGGTCCTTCGCTTTGCGTGTATCTCAGCTACTTCTATCGATCTCTTTTTTTTTAGAATAGAAGTAGCTGAGATACACGCAAAGCGAAGGACCCGGATGGTGTAGTGGTGAAGTGGGCTGCTCCCCGGTAAGGACAACAGCGCGTGTTCGTTCTCCACTGCATACACCTGTGGTCCGGAGTTTTGCAAATATCTCAGCATTTCATACGAGTTATATTTCGCAACATAACCTGCCATTAAGAAGAAAAAGGAAGTAAATAAAAGAGTTAAGACTATAGTGTCTATTGCGTCCCTTTGGTTGAAGCACGTACAGTGTCCATGCTGGGCGCAATGTTTTAACACGTAACGCTCTGCGCTGATTTCTCGAGAACTGACGGTGCTTTTTTGATTGCTAGATTTCCGGAGTAAAGAACTTCTATCTATTTTGTACAAGAAGATCTAGAGATTCCAACCGTTTTTACTCCATCAAATAAAGTTTGGCATGGGACGAGACATCCTAGTTTGAAGTTGAAAGTCATCACTACTTTTGCATTGAATACGTTGTATGTAATGCATGTTGGGTATGTTTATGAGGTTAAGGTCAGGGAATCTGAAATTTGAGAGAATATCCGTTATGCGGATCCGGAATATACTTTATAGCAGCAACTATGAATTATAGCAGAATGAATAATCTACATCTTATGAAAACGAAAAAAAAAATATACAGGAATCGTAGATGCTTACATTTTTGACTATTGGACCAGATTTCTCTCAAGGGAAACTCTGAGCTGTTTGGCGAAACGGCCCATACGATGCAACTTCACTCAGCAGTGCGTTTATAGTACACACGTATAGCAAGATGTCTCTGATCAAATTCAGGACATTGCAGATGACGTTCGTGAATCTGAATCTCCATTCGGTTCCATTCGAAGATGTGAATGAAATCGCTCAGCAACCGGAAGTTACGAAAGCGGCCCAAAAACGAGCCGAACAAATCGAGATTCTTCTCAAAGAGTGAGTGAAGTATTCACTTTAGCAGCATATACAGTACGGGTTGATCCAGTTATGCAAATAGATGTTGCACCGATCATGTGGATGTTAATGACCCGAATATGTAATTTGTGCGCCTTGCTGTGTTCTGCATAGCCAAAGCATTACTTATACAAGGGTCAGGTTTTCGCTATCGTGAAACTCAAATTTAAATAGAAATCTGGGCAATCTCCATCCATTTTACTCTTACACAATGTCAGCAACACAATCGCGACGTTTTTCGCTGTTCGCAGCAACGCACTGAATTCAATGCGCACCGTCCTAAGTGCCCAATATATACAGAGGCATCATAGTGTCATCGTTATCAACAGGTTTCTGTATTACTCCGTCTGTGACAACAAACAAAAGAGATATGTTTTAGCATTTCTCTCAACAGAAACAATCTGTGCTACTATACCTCTACAGCAGTCAGGATTAAGAACAGTAAGACCTACTGGGACAAAAACAATTCCTTCGAGCAATTTTTTGAGAAAACGGGATGAGTAGAAAATAACTATCCTCAGAAAGCGCCGGGCACAAAATCTGTGGTATGGAGGCTATCGATAGAGTACGAAAGGTATTGTGAAAGCTTTTGCCGCAAATCAAGCATCACCTGTTTTACCTATCGTCCCATTGATCACTGACTTACTCGAGCGACGCCAGTAAACCTACCATTTCTTCCTGTCGGGTGCAAGAGTAGCCCAGTGAGTTCTACTCGCTCTAGAGACTAGTTGAATATCATATCTTTCTTCTGAGGTTCTTGTGAAGAACTCTGACCAGTGGGCTGGTGGTCTCCTTGCCTTGCGTTTGACATAGCTAGGAATCCTATCGCTAACGGCTGTTGTCCATCGATTGTCGTTCATACGCATTACGTTACCAGTCCATCTTATTTTCCAATGTTTGGCGTACAGGACGGCATCTTTGGTTTTTGATCGTTGACGCAGGCGGTAACTTCGGATCCCTTCCTTTACTTGTGTGAAACGGGATACTCCTAGCATCGTCCTTTCGACTGCGCCTTCAATAACGCTGAGTGGTCTTTCATCCTGCTCACGAAGTGACCAGGTTTTTGAAGCATGCATTAAGGCAGGAAAGTACCGTTGAGTCGAAAAGCTGGGCACGGAGTCGGGTGCTTTTTGTTCTCTTCCCTACATTCACGATGCTATTGAAAGCACTCCAAGACGCTTCCCTTCCTCCTGCTCAGCTTTGGAGCTGTCGGCAGTTCGGCAAGCATGCGTTTCACCTGTCTAGTGCTTGGTGTTATAATAATAGGACATCAGCAAAACGGAGACGGAGTAATTACGGATCATAAACCTGGTCTAACTGATTTTCCACTGAATATGAAAACTGGATACTGATAGGTAACGCTTGAAGCACCAAGTCAGTGTGTTGGTGAGAACTAGAGGAAGGTTCTTCAGGCATTCATATCTTATGCCGTCCAGACATGGTGTTGTTCGATTCTACACGACGGAGTTCGGAAGCGAGAACCGTGGGACGACATATCTATCCTTTTGGGTTCAATCTTAGTGTTAAAATCTCCAATGATGATTTTCTGCCTACTATGATTTCGCGGCAGGGTACTAAGCGAAATACAAACACAACGTTGCTGAGATATTTGCAAAAATCTGGACCGCAGGTGTCTATGGTGGGGAACGAACGCGCTATTGTCCTTTCCGGGGANTAGCGCGTTCGTTCCCCACCATAGACACCTGCGGTCCAGAGTTTTGCAAATATCTCAGCAACGTTGTGGTTGTATTATCACCTTAGTCCTCTACAATTTAGGCAGCTTAGAATGGCCCTGAGATTTTAGCAGCCTCTCCACACTCGTTCTCCTTGATGCAGCTCTATCGGTGTGCTTTCGGGGTCAGGGGAATGAGGTCCATTTATTTTTATGTGCATGGCTCCTACGGATAGATTGTACAGTTCTCAGCGTAGAGAATGGGTATACTGATGAATATCTTGTTAATCTCTTGCAGAGTAGACGTAGAGCTTGTTTGTTGGAGGCCACTCCTAGCCACTCCTCATCTATTTCCTAGTCACTTTTTTGCAGGCTTTTGGCCAAATTGACTTCTTGAATACAGTATGCATTAACGATAACATACCCACGCATGCGTGCATAAAAAGCCGATGTAAAGGCAAAAGATGTTGCCAAATTGGCCCAGCAGAAACAAATAATCTATCCCATGGATTCAGTTGCGTATCATGGAAACACACTGTTCACTTTAGTCCGCATTTAATCCTACCCATCACCTAGAACACGTCACGTAGCCTCGCCCACCGTCTATGGAGGACTCAGATGCAAACGAGAGTATTTTGTATGTACAGAACGGCATCTTAGTCCTTCGAGATTTAGGTAGCCTAGATTAGCCCTGAGAGTTCAGCAGCCTGCCCATATTCATCCAACCCAACGTTGGCGTATTGGGGGCCTTTTCGAAGTAAACGGAATGTGGCCCATTTATTTGTTTAGCATTTGATACCTACATATAGCTTGCCGAGCTTTGCACGTGATAACTGGATATACCCACGGGTAACTTGCTATTCTATCCCAGAGTATACGGACAAACTTATTTGTTGGTGACTCCTAGCCGCCTCCCTTGTAGTCCTGTTACTTGATTGCAGGCTTTTGGCTGAATTGACTCGTTGAATACAATCCGAATAAACGAAAATACACCGAGGTATGGATGCATGAATGTCTTCATAAGCACAGAAAGTAGGCCAAATTGGCGCAGCAGAAACAGGGAGCCCATTCCCTGGATCCACCTGTAGCTCATGGTCGCTATGTTCGCTTTTGGTTCGCGGTTAATCACCTATCCCTCACTTGCGCCACGTTGCGTCGAAACTAATTGGCATCGGATCCCTCTTTGAGAGAGATCTGCGGAAGATCAGAATAAGTACTCTGGATGGAAATGCACTGAAACCAACGGATATCTTTCCGAAACGTGCCATCGTATACATGCATACATGAACAGGCATTTACGCCAATATGTGTAAACCATTGTTAAAACCGTCATGTATCCTTTTGTTTATCTTAATTCTGACAGAGATTTAACCGCATAGGGGAAGCTATGAAACACGCCTAATGCAAATCCATTTCGAAAGCACCAATTCTCCTTTTAGCAAAGATTTCCTCATTAGAAACAGTACTTCAAAGCTAGGGTCTACAGCAAGAAATTTAGTACGCTGGAATATTTTGCTGTCGTCACACGCATCTATAGATCAATTTTTTTACTACTGAGTGGAGGGTTGCTGGAAGAGTAATAATATCCAGAAATTTTATGAAATAAAAAAGAGGAACATGGTTCCCAGTTTCAAAACAACCCCAGCACCAAGTCCTCACATCCATAGTGATTAGCTGTAAGCATGGTTTGAGTTTCGGTTCCGATTAAGCGTGTTGAGAAACAGAAGACATTCTCTTATTTGATTGAAACTCCGTCGAAAGTAGTCAGCTATTGGTCCAAGCCAAAAATATGGCCATAATCCAAAATGATTCCAGGCTGGAAAACGAAGGATTGCGCGATGACGCCATCATCGTCGCCGGCGCATTCAACGCACAGCTTCATGAAACACAACTACTCACAGTACGTTCATAGCATTGCATACTTCTAGTTGTGTTTCGTGAACCCATTACAGCACCTCGCAAGAACACAAATGGTAAAGACTGTGGCAACAAAGGATGATTCCGGCAAGGTTGCAGCTATTGAGCACTTCGACAGACACGGCAGGGTAATTCGTTCTAATTTAGCATATAAGGCAACGGCACTGGCTAATAATACTAAATAAAAAGCCTGGAAAGCGCACACCACACCAGGGTCGGCAAATTGGAAACAGAATTATCTGGGAAAACCCGCTTCCAGCCTACAAACTCCGGGAATTGCCTGTGGTAAAGAGACCACTTTACTACAACTATTCCAGAATACCTGAAGCTCTGCGGATGGTACATGCGGCACAGAAAAAGCGGAATTAAATAAATGGTGTTATGAACACAACATGTGTAGTTGACTATTTGAAAAAAGTATCAGAAGGCAGCTGTTATATTTCCATACCAAGGTTGATTTACACGCAACGCTTTTCTATCCTTAGCACGTTCGCCTTTTCCAGAACGTGACAACGGTTGAACGTCTCAGATTTGATCTTCATTCGATTCATGACTGGTTCTTCCGATTAGGAAGAGGACAAATGGTCAAAAAGTAGGTGTCTTCCCACTTCTCCTCAAGATTATTATTATCTTTTACACACATACAGCAGTCTTCATTATATAGTAGTAGCCTCTTACTGCGACCACGTACTACTTTGTGAGGTTCCACTGATAAATTCTCTGCTTTCATTACGAGACACGCTAGATCTATTCTAAACACTTCCAAAGGTACGGTGTGTGCAGAGGTTGCACCCACCTGTTTAGAATCTACTGAATTGTTCACTTCGCGGTATCCTGTATTCCAGATACAACAGTGAATTAGCCCCGGTCGTCTTCAAAGATCAACTAAAAGAACAAAGTGTATTCTTCCAGGTGGATAGCTTTGCTAATCAACTCCTTTTCCTCGAAATTTCTTCGATTGGTCTGCTGCGTATAATTTTTTTCAGCCTTCTCGCCACTATGAAATCAATGAGTCCGGCAAAGAAGAGTTCATGCGCACACTTTGTCCAGCTTGGGCGGATCGAATTCTTTATAACAAGAAAATGGACACACTCTTCCGACACGTGAGTATCGTTTACTTTTTCATTCCCATTTGATATCGGTATTACTAAAAGACGGTTGTGGTAACAGCTGGTTTACACATTGAAGTATTAATGATATAGGCATAATTTGGGTACACCATAAATGAGCACCAATTACAGGATTCCTTCTGTGCTTCTGGCCTGTATTACGGCTTAGTTGGCGAAGAAGTCCACATAGGACAACACAAACCAGTAGCTCTTCATGCAACCATATGCCTCAAATAAACATAGTAATTAACGATTAAAATCATCACGTCAATATTGAAATGGGCGCATAATTTGGGCTGAGATTTTCATTTACTTTTAAAAAAATTCTGTTATCATTAATCATTTGTACTCTCCAGTAGCCTCAAACAGTAGAAAGCCTTCAGTGTTTATTTTCTGTCAAATGATGCTCTGCATATCCGGTAGTTAAGATCTTCAGAGAATGACAGATAGATTTACCATTTCTAATAAACGTTATTAATATCAAATAATTTTCGATTACGGCCCTTTAATGGTTGCTCAACTCATAAACCTAATTACAATTGTATTCATGGGAACCATACAGATTTGGGTAAATGTGGTTTCAAATGTGAAAAAAATGTAAATGTGATTTGGTTTCATGTGCCTTTTTAAACCATAAATAAGTTGAATAAGAAATAAATAACAAATAGTTCATAACAATAGTTGGGACTTCTAGACAAGATGTCATAAAACACCCGCTTAAAAGTGATAAATTATGAAACCACTTGTGCTTACAACTGCAACAGTTACGTCTTCGCAATAAAAACTGATTCCTTTAGGATGTAATGACACGATGTCAATACTATGTTGAAACATACCAGTGGTACAAAAATATAGTGAACTAAACAAATTAACTAATTCTTTCTGCTAGGGCTACACCGCATCTTATGAGCACATAAATCGCCTTGGTACGGATGACCAACTACATCACTGTAGTGCCTGCAATGAACAAATTGTAAAATCACACAAGGCATATGAGTTTTGATAAACGTGGTATCAAAAAAAGCATTCAAAGCGTGAAAAATCCACCACAACCAAATCCACAGATGTTGTTTGGGTTACCCTTTAACATTTAACGGACCTAAAGACTTTCCTCAACGAAGGGCAACATGTTTCACCTCTTTATCCTCTCTAGTTTACGAAAATGCGATATTTCCGAGTTTAGCACCTAGAGAGAATGTTTACCAAACCACTGCAGGCAGCTATCGAAACAGTACTATGCTTTTCTCAATAAAACCAAAAGCTTAGTTAAAGATAACCTTCTCCCATCACTTGTGCCACCTGTAACCCGTTAATCATCCAGTGATTCAACTAGAGGCCAATAAAGCCTTTATGAGTCTCTTTCATGTATCGCCTCAGCGCTGATTTCATTAGTCGCTTAAATCCACGAAAGCTGTCAAGAAATATGAACTTATATCAAAATACGACATGGATTAAATGACTACCCTCTAAACCGCATTACAAAGAGTGTCTTGAAACCTACTGGTGATATCTTTAAAAACGTTAGCGCTTTTGAGCGCAGCTCTTCTTGGCCAAGAACTGAAAACATTGTGTGGGTTTTCCGCAGGCTGCATCACAGCTTTTCGTAATAAAAAACCTCAACTGCGTGGTACGTTATCGAAATCGATTGGAGAGAAGTATAGCACTTTGACGGATATCAGTCTATTTGAACCCAATTACGATATAGTGATTTGTAATTGGGGAATGGTCGAGCAGTGATTAGTGATGCAGTCCATCAAGAAGCAAGGTGGTGGTTCAGCCCACTTCCCAACTCTCTCTTCCAATCCAAATGAGAAGCCTTAGCTCGGCTATTTCCAAGATTGCAAAGAGAATCAACTCAACTAGCATTCTACTACATTCATAAAAAAACCAAATCCTTAAGCAGCGGTGGAAACAATACACGAAATGTCCGAAAACTTTTGCGGATGATGAATGCGAAGAAAACCAACCAAACGCAAGAAGTGTTAGGATCCGCGCGCTAGATGTGATAACGAATCATGTAAAAAACAAAAAGAATGTAATTTCTGGACGGTTACCTATGGCATTTGCATCACCAGTAATGCTGCCAAACACTGAGTTACTGGAGCAGGTAAATGCTAAAGTGGCGGCTAGTTATCTCATGCGCCAACCTGCTCAGTGGGTTGAATTCGCTTGAAGACAAACACATGCTACGTTAAATATGGATTTAACGTTTTGCTACACATCATAGAGGACAAACATGAAGCTTTGTCACTCCGTGGTGTAGCACTAAAGGGTTATATGTGGTCACACATGTAAAATATTCCGATCTGGTTCCTTAATTTCCAAGATGCTGATTAAGTACATTCCCATTGATTTCTTATAAGAAAAACAACAGTTAACAACAGTACATCACTAGCTGAAAAATGAAGACTATATACCTCTTTCTTGGTCTTTCTGGGCACACATTTGTAGTACAGTTTTCGTCAACACTAGTGTCATCGTCGCTGCTAGAACTACTGGAAGACGAATCACTACTAGAATCTTCTTCAGAAGGACCGTTCATCGACTGTTCCATTATAGCAATAACTTCAGGGCGTGCGTAGTTGAGCCTGAAGAAACATTGTGATAAAACATAGTAGACAAATGCGCAGTTTATTTATCACGAAACTCACGTACCTCTTAAACCAATGTTTGCTAAGTTTTGGCCTGCCCTTCACAGTTTTCGGCCAAACTTGAGGCAAGTTAACAACGGAGCAAAAATTCTGAGTAACGGCGATAGTGACATCCTCGTTGACAACCACATGCCACCATCCTAATGTGACAATGAGAGCATCAACAAACATACTATATAAAACACTATCTTACCAGATGGTACAAACATTATTTCGCCAGGACATTGGCGAGCCTCGATCACTGGATATTCTTTAGGCCATGAAGATGACCGTACACGATTATACACAGTCATAAACCATGTAACTGCCTCGTCAGGATGTTTACCTCTCTCTGATTGATATGGTTTAACCACAGTTCGAGGAGCATCGGGTGGAATCAAGACCCATCTAGATTATGTAGAGCGAAGACAATATGCATAGAGTAATCAACGATCTTAAATCCGTAATCACCAACCGCTTATGTCCCCTAATCAGAGCGTTCCAAGCACTTGTGCCCAGTGGATCAACATGGATAGCTGTACCAGATCGCGCTGGTCCCATTACGAACCACCTATACAACCGCAAACGTTGAGGATTTTAAGTATATAAAAACCATAAATTTCTAAACATATATACCGATGAGGAGGACGTTTCCTATGATCTGTGTAATCGAAAAGATCATCTCTGAATAGATGAGGCACTACATAGTCATCAAGAAGCTTTTTCGTCTTATGACGCTGAAAATTGAGCGTCCCCATAGGAAAAAAAAGAGGATAACATAGGAAAAAAAACCGTTCTCACATCACCAAACCCACTATCAAATATATATAGTGGACTATCGTCGTGGCTATTCAGCATGTAGTCTACATAGTACTTCATCTTTAATTTTACTGAATATCCATCGTCGTCCTCACCACACTTGAAACGTTGATTTCGATACTTTCTCGCGATCCTCTGGAAACTGACATCAGGCGATCACATGACAGTTAAAAAATGCTTGGAAAAATCAATGATCGATAAGCCATCCAACCGAAGTGGTCCATTTCTCGTTGGCTTGCCAACTCTCAGTAAGGTGAGTAATTATGCATGGTATGCGAGGACGTTCAAACCGCTCGCGAAATTCGTTGAGAGGAAGCTTTGAACCATCCACTCTTAAAACTCAAGAACTAAATAGGTGTCTATATTCAAACCAAGAACACAACCACATACCTCACAATATTCTCACGACATTCTGAAAGTGTGAACTTCTCCGCAAGACCAAGTGTGTCCCAGCCAAAATGGTTGAGTTCTAGAACCTGATTTTGAGCATCACCAGCAAACAACTGAAATTTTCGCAAACCTGGACGAGCCTTTCTCTTAGCTTCCTCTATGCGACGTAATGACCTCCGATGACTATAGGATACTGTCATCTGAAAAAACTGAAACCTAAAGTTTCACGAAGGTCATAAATAATAAGAGCGACGTTATCCTTAAATCTATTGCATATCGCAACAATCTTCGATACTACCCTGAGACAGACGTTTGAACTATGGTAATGAAAACGTCCTACAACGCACTTTTGAGGGACTCAATCGCCTAATTCCCTTCTCGTTTCTTATGCGAACACAAATCGATTTATCAAGTTTTATCTGCTAGGGTTATGAAAGTGTTTGGCTGAGTAGATCGCATCTCAATTTGACCTTTCCAGGCTCTGAAGAAGGCGAAACCGCCGAAACGTCAGCAATTGTGTTCTAATAAATTCTATATTAACAACCTCGTGTCTGCTTATTGATGAAAAACATTGAATTATCAATTAATGCCGAGGTTAACAGAAAGTCGGTCATGGGAATATCCTTTATGTATTGATCAACGTTGAAAACTCTATCCTTTACATCTACATAACCAAACGTTCATTTGAGCGAAAGATTTTGTCGTCCACGCCGCTAAACTTAACTCCAGATTCCGAGCGGAATACACCAACGTGCAAATATCAACAACCAACAATATATTCTAAAAAGCAACTACGCGTATTTATAGTGCAAATTCTCAACAGAAACTTTAATCATTTGAGAACATCAAACTTCTCCAAATCACAAATTGACCATTTAGTCGCAAGTGCACATGGATTCCAGTCAGAATGCTATTTCTACGACCTTCCGAGATGAACGGCTTAGGGCTTCACTGAGCATTAATATCCACGCTTACACTCTTCTACTGGTGTACCTTGGTTAAAACTGACGAATTGACACACTTTCCAGAAGGAAATCCAGAAACGATCCAAGGAAACGGGAAAGGATCCAGTTATCAATGACGCAACCACATCATAAGAATGTTATGATGTCAAACCGCCACTGTTTCATTGTTACCAAAAGAAGCGCGGTGATGGTGGATGTCGTTCGATGCGAGTAATGCCCTAATGGCAGCTAAGTTCTGTACCATCCTGGAGTGGTGAGGGCCGTGGTGGTGGGGTTGGCATCATACTTCCCTGGGAAGCACTCCACTCACAAGACTTAGGAATGCTTTTGAATGCCTATCCCAAAATCGGACCTGATAGGAGGAAGCAACCAGCTCTAACATTCGTAAGTAAGACCAAAAATGTCCAGTCAGCAGCCGAATCCACATGTGAATACAAAGAGACCTTGGTCGATGATGGATGCGAGGGAGCAGTCCGAACAAATGAGGTGCTGAGATCCGCGGAATATATGTGAATACGGACCGTGAAAATATCAACAAATGACAAGAAGTACATTCTGTCTCACTGAATTCGTCACAATGCAGTAGAGACAACCTAAGTCTCTTGAAAGCACCCCCTTTATAACCAAGTTTATATCAAAACTGTAAATATTATATGTAACGTGCTTATCATTGGTTTCTAAAGTTATGCTGCAAAGCAGCGACCTATACGTGAATAAAAAAGTATGGATAAAAGATAAAGCTCTCGGCGTTGACCAATCCCTTAGGGATGCGCCATGGATTCGACTTCACTAAGCATCGTTTGAAGGTGATTAGATGCATATCTGGCCTTTACAATGACTCGTGGTGACCTATCGATATATCGAGTCACTGCTTCTATCCTCTCAGACAAATCTGGCACCAATTTGCCCAGCTCGGAGGGATGGAGAGCTTCATGGGCCATGGGCTCGGAGGTCGATTCCACATAGGTGTTGGAGGGCACCTCAACCACTGCGCCATACGCGCACTCTATAATCGAATAAGACTACAAATTCATGGTAGAATGGAAGCTGTAATGAGACTAATTACAGCTGAACGAAAACGGTATCTCAGAAAATGTCCACGCAATTCCTTGACATTACGAATAGGATCTAGAAGCGGGTGAAACCTTTCATTGATTTCCAAAAAGAAGAAACCAACACGTACACACGATAGGATGAAAGTTTTGTTTGATTCATCGCCCTGATTAAGGCTCATCAAGAAGAGCTTGTTTTTGAAAACGGCATGAATATCTGCGAGAATCTTCCGTATATTCACAGTTTATAAAGTAATAGCTGGGAAAAGATGAGATAACAGAAAACAGCAAGTTCTCAAAATATTACAAACATCAACGAATACATTGTAAACATCAATATGACAAATCACACAACACAAAAGGAGTGTTTAATGTAACTATCCCAGCATCTGCTTCTGAACTATATCCGCTGAAAACTTGGCCGCCTCTCTACGCACGCGTTTCTCATACTCTGCCCTAAAAACAGTGAATATATATATGTCCACAAGTATGTTAATATAAACATATACATACATATATGTATATGTATGTACATATATATATATATATACATATATATATGTATTCACTGCTGCTGTGTACATGTTACATCTGACAACGACAAATTTCATTCATTAGAATTTCACTTTAACTGTTTGTATTCTCTTTCGAAAAGTAGGCATTGACATTAACACACATGTGGATGGACAGCGTAGTAGGAATCGACTCTGGACTTCCTTCATTGCTACTTATTTCCCCGCACGAAGCTTTATTGTTGAAAAACCTGGTCCCTCAAAAGCTATCCTCTACATTTCATAATAAAACTCATAAAAGACTTTTCACGTGTGTTTGTTCGTTCTGAGCCGTTATTTTTGAGAACAAGGATACTTCACAGTAGGTGTACAGATTGCGCGTCCATTCATGCACTTCCAAACACTGCATGTTTGAAAAACCTACAGGTTCTAAACTTCACTGTGATCACATGTAGGTTGAAGAAGATATACAAGAATGCCGAACTATGATCTCAATTGAAAGGCGGATAAGACTTGTATCTTCAGACAGCTGAGCTAAACAGTTACCAGAAATGTGGAAGGATATATAAAAAAAAACATAACATAAATACAGAGTATATAACTAGCACAAAAAATAAGCCAAAAACGCAGGCATAAATTGAAATATAAATCGGAAAACACAAGCAAAAGTGTTAGCATATTTGAAAGCTCAAGGGACTGGATGCACTTAACGCGTACTTTGCATAGGAAAAAATTTGGTTGTGGTAGTACCTCGCAGCAGGATAAATGTTTAAGAACAGTTATAAAGTGGTTTAAAACTTGTTCTTATCATATTTGCAGCAAAATACGATTTCGACATTTACAATGTCGAACTTAATTGCTCGTCGATTGATGACTGCACTCAACTCAATACAAGTAAGCCATTGTGGCACTGCTCAAAAAAAGGAATAAGCACACTCATTGGCAAATGATCTAATTCATCAATATAAAAGACTAACTAACCAAAGCTGAACGAAAGTAGTCATAAATTTGCAGATATCTCAGTACACTGTTATGTGAAATACTATTGCCCACCAACCCGCCTTTACATCTTTCTGGCTTGTAATTGTCTTTGTGACTTGACAAAGAAATTTGTCTGGAAAACAGCAAAAAGGACCCAATTTCATGAAATGTTGGAAACTAGCCAAAACACAACTAAAGTGGAAGGCATTAGCATATACGCATTTATTCCCAACGAAATAAAAAACGGTTGGCTTCAGTGGCTTCGGAAGTTCTGAATGCAGCGAATTCTACAACAGTTTTAGCAGACGTTTAGTTATTGACAATTCTCTCGGCTAGTAGTTGCCAGTTTGGAAAAGTGATTGTCTGTTAGCTAGAGGTATGACGAGTATTTCCATACGATTTGATCGATGTTGTGACACTACTGCTTTGTTATGATCGCTTCGCGAAAGTTCGGTACGTTGAATTACATGGTTCCCTTCGTTTGAAGCAATAGTCATGACTACCAACTTTTGGTGTAGATTTACCTACTTCCTTATCTTGATACTTGGATACACCCACTCTTCCGGTAAAGCTGGAAAAATGAAGAGAAGTTATTGTTATATATATATATATATATATATATATATATATATATATATGGTGAATGGCGATGTTAATTTTCTGTACCAAGCTTTCCTCCCAACGACCTATTCAGACGGCTTGCTTAATGCTTGGAAGATCTATAAGAATATTGAAAAGGCGCGATACTTCACGACAAAAATCAGTTTAAGTTTGCATCAAATGGTAGAGACGTACTCACGCACTCCCAACTATATCATGGAAGTGAGTGTTCAACAGAAAAAAAATTTACGTTGGCGGCTATAACGAAACTTGAACTGCTGAGAAACGCGAAAAGTGTTTGCCAATATAATTTATGTTTAGATTGAACCAATAATTGTACGTGTCAACCGTATAAAAATTGTAAGATGTAAAGAATATGAGTTGTAAAAATTGCCGGTTATAAAACAAATTTTACTGAACGTAATATTAACACCATAGCTAGAAAAATGTGAGGAACAGAATTGACGATGAAACGTCGATACATTGGTATATCACAGAGATAGTATTACAGTAAAACCCATTCCATATTGACAACTGTTTTTGCAAATGACTATAAGCTTTCTCGGAATATACCGGATTCAACATAAGCAGGCACTTACCGAGTAGATATAAAAATATAAAAGCCTCAGTCAATGTCGTGAAAGTCCTGTAAATTAAAGATATTAAAAAGCATACCTGTTCTGGCAAAAAATTTGGTACGCCTCAGCTTGTGCTGGATCATCAGGATTGGGGTTATTAAGCAGATCCTGTATCCCAATAAGCAATTGTTTAATTGTAATCGACGGCTTCCAATCCTTGTTCTCATCAAGTAGTGACAGGCACACAGTCCCTGAATAATGACAGAGGATAAAAACGTTAAGAAACCCTGTAATAAAAGAATTCCGAAGACCAAGCATTTAGGAACAATATCGCTACTAGTCCTCAACTCTAAAGGATTCTGTGGGCAAGAAGGAAATGTGACGCCTATCAGACTCATGAAAATAGTCTACGACTCTGTTGAATCGCGCAATAGTTGGGATTTCCTGAGCTTTGGTTGCACCTTTTATTAATCGCATGATCAAGGATAAAAACTTTCTGTTATGTATTCGACGTCTGTATTCAACCAAAAATGAACATTCAGGTTAAAGTTCAGTTGGGTCTTTTCCTTAGTTGTGAGCGGCTCCGAAATAACACATTTATGATACAATGGAAAAAAAAAGCTAAAACAAAACTGAATAATCTTAACCTTTTTATTTACTGCCTATTCTTTTTAACGGCAGGGTATGTTGTGAAATATTACCATAATGCTGAGATATTCGCAGGTATCTGCGGTCCGGAGTTTTGCAAATATCTCAGTATTATAGTAGTTATATTTCGCAAAACTGAATAAGTTGGTTTTTCCCATACACTTTCTTCACTTCGTATAAATGAGCTCCACAACTTGAGAAGGGGCATGTATACAAGCATTAGTAAGGAACTAGTAATAAGGGCAAGTACAAAATGTTATGTTTAACAAGTAATTCAATGGCCCTCTTCCATGGCACTTATTAAGCAAAATACTTCATCGCTCACATAGGGGAAGGCGTATTGTATCAGAAAAAAGAAGGAAATCTGATTTAACACAAATATGTGATCATCAGATAAACAGTCTGTATCAGAATTTCAGGTGGAAATACGCTTAAAAAGAAAGCGACAAAGTTAGTTGTATACTGCGCACAGATCCAAATTATACTTGATTTATAGCGAGCAACATTATTAACTTGATTGGTGATTTCTGCGTAAGTTGCACAATAAGAAAACATCCCGCACTAAATTTTGGTTTAATTTCGAATTTAGCTACTCACATAGATTAATATAGCGCTAATGAAAAATTAATGTGTGAGTGAACGGCTAAAGAAGTATCTAAACTTCATAGGTTCATATGTCGAACACATAGGTTATGACGGGTGACTAAAACGTAAAAAGCATACGGAGCACGATATTGCTCCGCGTCTTCTGTTCGATCTCCCCATGTCGTTTTCTACGTTCATTGTAATTCCTGGGTACACACAAATGTCTTCTAGGAAATCAAAGAACTGTGTTCTCACATCCGCTGAGGTGTTTTGCACAAACATGATTTTCTTCCAATCTATTGAAATTTGTCGTTGTTATTTCACCTAACCATCACATAAAATATATCTCCCTCTCTCTACCTCTACCCACCATGTAAAAAGTATTTGTGGAAAACATGCTCCTAAAAGCAGCCGAAAGTGTGCACAGCAGTACGACAAGCGACCAACTTAATGATTCGGTAGTAGAACTAAAACTATCGCAACTTAGACCACACCTTCAGTTTCGGTAAAATTTTCTAATATGCCCTCTATTTCAGATGAGCTATGCGATGTTATTCAGCAATGTTCGAGGAAGTCAAGGGCACGCACTGATGGTGTATGAACTAATACAAAGCACACTGCACATGGAACTATTATTTAAGTTCCAACCACCACTATGAAAAGATCATTGCCTAACTGCATGGGATAATTTTAGCAATCCATCACATTCAACCAAATTATGAATCGGATACAAAAGGATAACACTAACGGTCTTTGTATTGCTGAGCTATGGATGCGTGCATACTCATATGCTTCAGTATTAATTCACTTCACTCACGTTCTACCACTTCCGGCTCACTGTGGACATATTTACTCGTCATTTCAAACCAAATTGTCAATCGCCTTGCACGCTACGAAATATATGCCATTATGACACATCTCAGCGAAACAATCGTAGTGTTCAAAATTGCATTCGAGACAACTTATTAGAGCTACGAAATAACCCACCATACTCTAGGAGATTCAACACTTCTGCTTAGTGTAGGCTGAGTACGGGTGGAATAGAATGGTAAATGAAGCCGAAGCCCATAATGGTTAAAAGCTCAACAATGTTATCGGTATACTTTTATAATATCCTTAAATTATTTTCGACTTACGGTCCGTAAACTGCAGCTGTTCTAGAACACAGGAAATCAAATAATGTCAACCTACCTTTTGAACTAAACAGTGAAGTTATGCTTATACGTCACACACCTGATGGGTAAACATTCGGATGGAACAGTGGTGGTTCAAATTTGCACTTCGGAGGCGTTGACGGGAAATCATCTTTGAAAAGCATTCTAATCTGTAAAAGTACATGGGAATTTAACAAAAGGTCCAAAAATAGCTATATAAACCCAATATAGAGCTTAAAAAACAAAAAAGCATGAGGATTATACCTTGTAAAGCCCACCCTCCCAGATGGTATCCTTCTTCCCAGGGATAGCACACTCCCAATTAAACAGATTTAATGTGCCGTCAGTATTCTTTACTGGTTTAGCGATGAAGCCGAACGGGTGGTCCTTACGCCACGCTTTTCGTTCCTCTGCTAAACGACCTGCAGCAATACCAGCCATATCTGGAACAACACAGCAGTGTCGATTTCCACTACAGAAATGGCACCATACGAGCAGAAAGGAATGGAGCGGCGATGCAGGACTGAACGTATAACTTCTCTAACCGTGAGTATTAGAGAACCATCCCGCCTACACTAAGTATGTGGTAGTCGAGTTAGCAACATAAGTCGATGAACAGTGTGATTGGCAAGGTTGACCGACAATAACTACTGATAGTTCTTCAGCAATTAGAGCAGTTTAACTGTGAACTTGAAAGCCGTGTAGAAGAATACTTTCCTTATGGTAAATAAGCTTTCTAAAGTGTCGTTTTAATGGTACTTCAATTAGCAATATAATAAGCATATTTTAGTTAATCTTAGTGCTATTTTAACTCCAAAATTGTTCAACACATTCCTGACGAAGCGAATTTTTCGACAGACGATGGTTCCTCGAATACTTGAGTATTTCTGAGCTCAAAACTGCATACTTTTATGGAACAGACTATTCTCTATCGTATTAATCACATATATTATTTTCCTACAGTACCCTTTCAAATATGTGTAGAATTAGGATTTTCAAGGAACTGAAAGTGAAATTTACAAGTTTTAAAACTTCTAACTCAAGAACAACACCTACAGTTATGCATAATATAATAATACCTGCTGGTTCAAAGTCTAGCGATGCAATTGTCTTCTGCTATGTACGAGCTGAAATCAACCCACATTGGCCATTATGTGCTAAAGTTATTCCGCTTTGCTAGCGAGAATCGAACAATGATAATCCCATGAAGTATTTTCCCTGACATACCATCTCTTTTCGTTAACAAATTCTGCATACAAAGCTTCTCAACATTAGACGCATTGGCAATAGACTGGTTACTATCAAAACACTGTTAGTTTTTGAAGAAATACTCACCAGCAACATTCCAAACCTATGCGTGTCATGACGACGGTACTAATGCGTCTTCACTTAGCACGTCTCATTAAGTAATTAGGTAAAGTCTTTGTATTTCCAGCCAGTGGAAGATCGACCTCTCTACAAGCATTTGCTCAGTTCTTTAATGCTCAACATTAAAAGAACGCTCTCACTCCCATCTCACAATTCTTCATCTTTCGTGCAGAATGAACGCGACGCATTAAAAAATACCTTGAGTACTCTACACGTATATAAATTGTTGAGCTTACACGAGGTTGACAAACAGATTTATTCTGCTATGTTCCGACGTGTTCGTATTCATCAGAGCCGAAGACCGTGGACCATCGACTCGGATCATCAGGAACTCTGATAAAGAGCAATACATCGAAACTTTAGCTGAATGAACCTATTTATCAACCTCGCACAAGCTCAACAATTTAAACACGTGCTGATTATTTTACTACCGGGGTTCAATCACGGTCGGTTTGAAAATTGTCTTGATTATTAAATTTATATCTCCTATTTCCATTCCAGCAGAATAGGTTTCACTCAAGATGATGATATAACATGCATAGCGGTCGCTCACGCTTTCATTATACTTCAAATAGCACTATAATCGTATGGATATGTTCTAACATAACTCCCTAGCATGACGTATAATATTCTACCCTGTCCAAAGCATCACCTCTACCAACCCTCTCATCCCACCGGGGTCGAGAAATTGGTACCGGACTTATCTAAGAAAAAAAATCGCTCTCTGCAATCCAATTGGGAACGCTCCAGCTCGGCTATCTCAAGACTCCAGGAAGAACTGCACGACCAGCACTCTACGATATTCAAAATGGAATGAAAATCCTCAAGCAGCAAGCGAAGGCCACGCGTAAAAGTTGGAAGATCTTCGTGGACAATGGATGCGAGGAAACGAATGGAATGTGTGAAGTTCTGGGATCCGCACAGTAGACATGAAGATAGATCAAATAAAATCAAATTAAAAAAACAAGTTTGAAAAGTGCGAACTAGTACGACGCAACATGAAATGGATTCCATAAGCTGATCCCACCTCTCTCTATCAAGTACTGTAGATAGCCGCATTTGGTCTGCATTCCAACAATATCCGCCGTTAGCGAATCGCCATGTAGCCTTTGCAACTAGCAAGCTCGAGGTCACTCGTACAAATTAAGTTTTGCTATTAATACGGATATAAAGTGAAAAGCAGACTAACAAAAACGGCGAAAAATCGAACAAGCAGATAAAAACAAGTCCTAATTCTTCCTTCCTTTTCGGACTGAATACAATTTGCTGTTGCCAAGTGTATCGAGCACATACGTTCAGATCAATGGGGTTATTAGAAAGCAGCAGAAGCGTCAATCCATGTATCAAGCAAAAGTGCACGGCTCGAGAACGATTTAAAGAGAAAAGACACGAGGTTGAAGAACAAAAGAGGAGCATTGTCTTTCACTAAGTATACCTGAAGATAGGTTGGAAATAACTTCAAAACATACTATCCCACGCCGTTCTGCACAAATTTGGCGCCTACGGATGGGACAACTCACACGTTTTTGTCTGCGTCTCTACACTTACCATAAGAAGCAGTGAAACGACAAAGGAGATACGAAGATGAAGACAGATATGAAGACCGTGAGCGCTGCTTCGCGAAAGCACCTGGGAAACTCGTACGTGGAAAACACAGCAAGCATCATGGATCATATGTGGATGGGTCAAATAGGGAAATAAAGGTGAAGTATTCGGTGTTGTTGTTGGTGTTGATCAATCCCTGGGGAAATCGCCATACATTCACCTTCACTAAACATCGTTAGAGGTGACTAAATACACCTCTGGCCTTTACAATGACTTACCGATGCATAATGTCAGTGCTGACATCCTCCCAGCAAGCTTGCTACCAATTTGCCGACCCAAGAACGATGAGTTCGGTGAGCCCGTGGCGGAGGATCGAACTAACAACCACGTATGTATTGCAAGGCACCTCTAACCGCTGTGCTACACGCCCACGGATGAGTCAATTGTCGTGAATAAATTAGGAGAAGCAGACCAGAGGTGATGGTAGAGTAGAACCCGCTCGTAGGTGGTTATTAACAATCTCATAGCGAATGACCCCATAGGTGTCATAATGCTTTTGCGAGAGTGGTCTGTAAGACATCTATACGTGTCATTTTATCTCCGGATGTTTATTTTGATGCAGCGAAGTTCTTTCCAGTACTTCTAGCAATCAATTGATTGCTTGTCGAACACAGATCCTGTAGCGTACGTCGTCCATGGGAGGACATCTTCTCGAAAATTCCTCATTAATTTCCGGCTTTGCGCCGACAGAACATTGCTGTCGTAGGGAATATGCTGCCTTCAGAGTGTGGTCAGTGAACCTCGAAGAACTGGGAACGCATGCAGCGTGCAGCACCATTCTTGATGAGCAGTTCGTTGTCTTCCAATTCTCAGTGGCTGTGATGAGTTTTGCGTATTGTGTGGGAAGACAGAATATCAAAACTAAGATGCAAACATCGTAATATACCTTGCAGGACTTACGCAACATCATTAAGTGCCGACAGCAGCACTACTGCACAGTGGACGAGTGTTTTACAGTAGTATACGAATCAAAAACATGGGATGGTGTGTAGAAGAACATAGATCACACAGAGAATAAGAGAATCACAGAAATTTTCCCAAAACGCATTGAAAAACCGATCTCCACGACGGGAATCGCAAAAAAACGGGATGAGCTACATCAAAGCTGCCGAAGTAGCCAGTGCGGCGCAACGAAAAATTTGGCGTCGTCCATTTCGCAAGAGCGCGAAATCGGGCGTCGTCGCGATAGTGTTGTGAGCATGACCCCAAGGTTTACCGCCCCATCGTGGCTGGGAGGTGGGTATCGGGCTACGATATACAGCGGAAGGTTCGCTAGGATCTCCCAAGCTGAGGAGCCCGTTTCCATACGGAAGCCCATCTAAAGCTAAAGCGATACTAGAAATGGCCACCATCAAATTGGTGGCAACGTGACAAATCACACTGTAATCCACAAGTGTCGGCAACTATCTGTGGTGGCAACAACTTGAAGAAGGCTTCGGCTAGGCTAACCTAGTGTCTCCAGTGAACCACAATGGCTCAACAAGCAGAACCAAGGCCTCGGTATCTCGCACACGGGGTTACCGACGGCGTCGGGCTGTCATAGATGCGGTGAGAGGCAATCAAATCTCCGGTTGCACCACAGGACGTCATCTGAATCGGACAAAACGAGCACAACCACGACACGCCATGGGGCTGCTTCTCACTGTGCACCTCTAACGCCAGAACAGACTCTTCAGGCGCCGACCTTTACTCGCTTCTTGAGGCTGCCAATCTCATCAGATTCCATGTAATCGCCCTACAAGAAAGGAAAAACAGGAAAATCGACATATATAAATTAGATCAGTCGAAACCCTTGTCATTCGTGAAGAGGGATCTTCGATATGAAGTGTCAGAGGTGTAGGCTTTGTCGTACACCTATCTATTTCCAGGCTAGTCACCTCATGCGCAACGCTATCACGGCCCTTGGTTCTTCGTCTCCAATTTGCGCTTTAGAGGAAAGTCAGTATCATCAGTTGCTACTCGCCAAGTTTTACAGTTGATAAGAGTGAAATGGACGTGTTCTGCAGCACGTTGGAGGAGGTAATGCGCAACCAAATGTCCTTCTGTTAACTCGTTGTTGGCGACCTCAGCGCCAAGTTAGAAAAGGCCGACAAGAATGAATACAGGACAGCGAAATTCGGAATAGGAGATCGAAATGATAGAAACCATCTCGCAGGACTCCTGTCCGCAGCACGTCTTTTCCATGGAAATTCATTTTTCGAGAATAGAGATCACAGATGCATATGGGAGTCTCGTTACGGCACGACTCATGGGGAAATCGATCATATTCTCAAAAACAGTAAATGGTGCCTTTTTGACACCTCAATGGTGCCTGGAGTCTATACTGGATCTCACCACCGTCTTCTCCTTGCGAACGTTAGATTCAGCCATGAGCTGGAAAAGAACTGTCATCGTCCAAGAAAAACGGAAGAAGTTGCGCATGACGAGGGCATTCTCAGTAAAATCCTCTCCTCACATGACTGGCAGAGAAAGGATAACCCAACGGAGGACTACAAGCTCCTTGTCGAAGGAATTAAACTTGTGCCGAACTTGCTTCAGCTCCTCAACAAGTTCAGACACCTCTCCGTTACAACTAAGGAGTTGCTCAAGCAGATAGGAAAAGTGAAGGCTCGTCCTACTGCAACATACCTAATACGGCGGATTATAAATTCCCTCAGAAGATGATCTTTGGAAAAAGACTCACATTGGCATAGGCAGTAAAAGTTACTGGAAGCAGTTCAAAAACGAAGTAGCCTGAAGAAGTGCTGTGTGTAGGTATAAGTAGAAAGCTTAGCCATGCGGTTGCCTATCGATGTATTTTAAGTTAGTGTTTCATCTTCCCAGACAAGATTGGCACCAATTTCCCAACCACAAAGCGATGTATGGCTTGGGTTGTCCAGAACGCAAGACCATAGCCACAACCATGTATCCCACTGCAAAGTAGCTCTATCCACTGCGCAACCTCACACGGCTATACATCTAAATTCCAGCGGGGAAATAAGCACGAGTGTTCATGTCGGACACTGTGCTATTGCTATTTGCTCGCTATAACACCGATTCATCCCAACTTTTTTCCGTAGTCCTAAAGGGAGACGAGCATTTGTGACTACCTAAAATGACAAGACTGCCAACGGTTTAGCGTCTCATCGTGGCTGGGAGGTGTTCCTGGGTGTCGGGCTACGATGTACAGCTGGGGGATTCATCCCCTCGCAGGGTCATCCAAGATGGGAAGAGTCCGGCGTTTCCACCAGCAAACACAACTAGTAGTAAACTAATAGCAGGATCGACCACCGTCCTGGTATCTAGTCGCATTGTAGCAAATACTCATCTGATCCACAAGGGCGGCAATCGCCTGTGGCGATGACGACCTCGTGGAAACTTTGGCCAGGCTGACCTCGGGACCACAGGGAAGCACGTTGGCTAAACCAGCAAAACTCCGAAAAAGTGGAGATTATGCTGGGGTCCGCATAAGCAATGAAGACGGGCCATCCAAGTAACCAAGTAACTAAGATGATAAGGCAAGTCGTTGTTTTGCGAGTGAATAGTGCCACAATAAGCGCGCTCCAGCGTAGCTCTCCTCGACACTGCAATGAGCAGAGTGGTTACCGAAGACGTTGTTCTAATTTATTTATCCGTTCCTAAATTATTGCCTTGGTTTTTTGTTCCTGTCCTGAACTGTGCTAATGCTTGAGAATATCCTAAGCAGCTTGATGGCAGGTTTCCGATGGTTTTGGCCAGGGTGAAAAGTTGGCTGACGTGGTCGTGGACGTATTTGTGGGCACTGTGGTTTCTTCTTGTTGTTTTGCTTATATACATTCTCCGTGGTCCGTTAAAAATTACTGAGTCGATAGAAAATGGTTGGTTTTCACTTGAGACTTGTGAGTTTTTCGGTATTATTGATTTTTATTGTTTCATATTTACATTTGCATTAGTCTTTGGTGTTTTTTGGACACAAATTATTCTCCTTTACTTCATAATTGCTTCCTTTGCTTTTCTTGAGTTGTTTTTAGCTTCTTCCTATTTCAATAATTTGACTCCCAAGTTCTATGTGGCTCTTACTGGTACTTCCAGTCTTGTTTCGGGGATTATACTGATCTTCGAGTGGTGGTATTTCAAAAAGTAAGTTCCTTTCTTTTCATATTGGTCTTCCGACCTCCTAATATGTACTTTCCAATCGACTGTTTCAGTAATGCTGTTGATTCTGTCAGCGAAGATGGGAGCGACAATGAAGATGCATTGGAAAATCAAAAGGCAGTACCAGGTGGGTAGCAGTACATGTGCAACAGAAGACAAAAGAATCTGGCGAATTCCTACGATATGGTCCATTAATTTCGCCTCTCTCACCGGCTTCCCATACACTTACACTTGTTTTTTAATTTACTAACGGCACTACAATAATATTTAGAGGACCGTTTCGGTCGGTCTATTCCATTGCTCGTATTGGCCAGTTTTAATCATATGAAAATTAAAATGATAGAAATAAAGGATAAAGCTCTCGGCGTCGATCTAGGTGATTGAATGCATATCTGGCCTTTACACTCGTGGTGACTTGGCCTACCGTTGTATCGAGTCAGTGGTGCTGTCCTCACAGACAAGTCTGGTACTTATTAGCCGATCCGGAAGGAATGGAAGGCTTAGTGAGCCTGGGGCGCGGGGTTCGATCTCAAGCGTATTGCAGGGCATCTTCGACCGCTGCCTGCCCGCGCCCTTTAAGTAAAATGAAAATGGTGAGTGGTGAAAATGAAGTGATGCTTGCAATGAATGATGATGAGATTTTAGTATTGAAAATTGTTTTAATTTTGCTATCCATCACGTACATAGCATAACTGCTGTCATACTTTGAAAACACATTTCCTTTTGACTATTACGCCGCAAAGCGGCGCGTATGGCGTAGTGGTCGGAGGCGCCATGCCACACATACGTAAAATCGATCCCAGCACCCATGGCTCACCAAGCCTTCGATCCCTACGGGATCGGCAGATTGGTATCAGACTGGTCGGGGAGGGTAGCAGCACTTGCTCGATACATCGGTAGACACTGTTAGTCTTTGTAAAGGCCAGATATGCATTCTATCACCTCCAACGATACTTAATGAAGTCGATTGCATGGCGCATTCCTTAGAGATTGATCTACGACGAGAGCTTTTATCCTTTACATATCTGCACATTACACTTATTTGTGTGCAGTTTACAACAAGCCAAGCATATCATTGTAAAGTTTTGGTCTAAGTTCGCATCACGAATGTTCTCTAGAATCTAGTGTTTTCTTTATATGTACATTCCAGAGTGCAAAGTTTGGCGAAACCCAATGGCTTTGTTTCGAGGTGCTGAGTACAACCGTGTAAAAACAGTTATGGACCTTGATCCATTAACTTACTATGATATGAATCTGTCGGCACAAGATCACCAAAGCTTCTTCACATGCGATGAAGATGTTGGGAAGCCTGATTATGACAGTGAGTTCTTCACTTATTGACCATTGGGTAGTACAGCCGAGCTGACTTTCATGTTTGTTGTGATTTAAACTCAAGTATCATCGAATGGGTAATGGAATTTCTCTTTTGAAACTATTTTTGGTGCCCACAACTTTAGAGTTCTTAGTACTTTCAGTGACATAGGAATATAAAGCTTGTCAGTTATATGTCTGAAACAAGTAATTCAAAAGCGGAAGAGAAAGGTCTTTACCATTTACAGTCACTTATGGAAGAATTTACTGCGACTGGTTATTGTTCTAACCATTTCTCTGTCTGTACATTTTCTTCACTATTTTTTTGCGCCTATTTTTCTCTTTTTTTCTACAGGCACCAGTACCTCTTTCTTCTTTTTCCTACAGTTATACCTTTTTCACTGATTCCCTTTTTACCTTCTCCTTTGCCTTTGCTCTTTTTGGTTGTCCATTCTTTTCACATTTTCTGAATCCTTTACATAAAGTGCGTATCTTGAATGTATTTAACAAGTGTAAGAAATAGGATGCAAAGAGTATATTTGCCTTTTTAACACTTTTTAAAAGTGCTTCCCATCCACATTTACCTCATTTAGTTATGCAAGTCGCTTGGCGAGAACGAGATAGTACTTCGCGAATCAACGCTGCTCGTGAGGCACTGCATATAAATCCGAACTGTGCTCCAGCACTTATTTTACTGGCAGAGGAGCAATGCGAAACTATAGCTGAGGCGGAAGGGATGTTAAGGTTGCTGTTGTCTTCTTTTTACATTTAACCCGAAGCCATATTCCAACGGTTTACCACCTTGGCTGGGAGGTGTTCCTCGGTATCGGATTACGATGTACAGTGGAGGGATTCATCCTCCCAGCAGGGTCCCTTCTCTTCCTCCTAGGTTGAGAAGGGGTCCGGCATTTTCATCGGGGAGTACAGCTAAGAGTAAACCAATACCAGGATTCACCACCGTCCTGGTATCAAATGGTTGCATGATGGCAAATCTCCCTCTGATCCACATGGGCGGCGACTACCTGTGGTGGTGACGACCTTGGGCAGACTTTCGCTAGGTTGTACCTCAGGACTCCGGAGAACCGCAGTGGCTAAGCCAGCAAATCTCTGAAGAATGGAGATTATTCTGGGTCGTGCATAACCAGTGAAGACGGGCTATCCAAATATCCAAATAATCTGCAGGTTGTGCCGTCTACTACCAATTGTTATGTTCCGAAATTTTGCGCAAGCTTAATTTGGAGAATTCAGACATATATTACCATGAATTGTCTGGTGTTACTAGGTCTTCGAATATGTTGTTTTATTTTGCATGTTGCCTTTGGATTCATTATGAGAAATGGAAGATTTTAAATTGTGAAATTATTATTTAGACGTGCTCTGAAAGCTGTAGACAGTAACGTAGGCCAGACGCAATCAAATCAGTTGGGTTCGCATGAACGTTCTAGCGATATATATCGTCAAGGACGACGTACGTTTGTTTTGCTGAACGAAAAACGATGGAAGACATTTCCAGAACTCCGTCGTGTTCATTTACAGGACGTGATTTCCACATGCAAATATACATACGGCGCCGACTTGCCATGTGCGCCAGGAAACAAGGACGATTGCGTGAGGCTATAAAAACGTTTAAAGATGTATGTTGTTTCGCGGAGGAGTCTCTGTGAACTTTGTAGTCCTTGTTAACCTTTTATTTGCTGCTTACTATAATCTTTCACGGCAGGCTCCGATGTGAAACACAATCACAGCGATGCTGAGATATTCGCAAAACTTGGACCCCGGGCCAGATCGATCCACGAATACCCTTCCATGAACTCGCGTATTGCACACCACTGAATCCCTTGCTTTCCGTTTCTCTCGGCTAGTTTTCTTCCTAATGCTGTCATCAGAAATCGTCCATCAGTAGGATTAATCTGGGGAGTACAAATCCTTATTCACGGCATCTACTACTTTTTTTTCACTAATGGAGGATCCCCATGTGATGAAGGTAAAGGGAAAATAAATGTAATGTAAAAAGTTAATGTGGCAAAAGTCGCTGTTATAGTTCATTTTCAGATAATTCGAGATGGATCTATGAGCAACATATTAGGTGTGCAGGAAAATCTTATAGAAGCTTGTTTAGAGATGCAAGCATATGCTGATGTTCAAGCTCTTTTAGTCCGATACGATGGTTTTGGTAAGTTTTAATGTAGATTTAGTCTATTAGAAGTATTTTTGTTCATTTGTGTTATTCAGATTTGCGAGAACCACGGTCAGCAGTACTGAGCTACACTTCAGCACTGTTAAAAGCGAGAGCTGTCGCTGACAAGTTTCTGTTATATACTTCGTTGATTTTCTCAGACTTTTTTGCCATTTTTTTCTATATCCACCTCTTCTACAAGATTTGTTGCTGACGTGTCCACGAGACGGGGCCTGTCATCAGCAGAAGCAACCGCTATTGAGGCTATTACGAGAGCCATTGAATTCAATCCTCATGTACCTCTCTACCTACTAGGTGCTTAGCTTTATGTGCTTGCTTTCTTTGAATTTATAGCTATATATTCACAAACCATCCTATACTTCATGTTAGGTACCTTCTATATATGTACATATATACATATGTATTTATGAATGTGTCGTTTTCTTGTTCAGCAATCGCGAGGTTTTTAAACAGCATGCATTTACTTCCATAGAAAAACACAATACAATACAACACTAGCTGACGTTTCGGCAGTATCGCCTTCTTCAGAGCCGCTTTTTCGTGACTTCCAATGAGGAAGTTTAGAACAGCTGATTATAGTCGCATGTGGTTGACGACTCAACCTCGCGATTGCTGAACAAGAAAACGACACATTCATATTCCAATGCCGAGGTTAAGAGAAAGTCGATCTTGGGAACCATATATATATATATATATGTATATATATATGTATATATATATATATATACGGCTCGTGTGGAACTGTTGTCGGAGCCTCCTACAATACACAAGGGATCTATTCACCCACCCCC